GTTGGTTATTATCAAACTCACAAAGAGCGAATTCGCATATCTCCTTTGAAATAGGTCCAGAAATCTAGCTTCTGTCTCTTGCTGAGAAGTTTCAGTATAATCCTGAAAAAGAAAGAAAAGGAGATACTTTTTCTAACTTAACAAGGATAAAACTTTATATATACATTTCTTTTCTGATAAGTAAAGAAAGAAACAAATGCAATAAGCTGAAATGCTACTCTGATGTCTGCTGCTTCCCCAGATATATCCGCGTCCTCTCCTCTAAGATGCTGCAGAGCAGTTTCAAACTCTTTATCCCTACCAACTTTTGCCTGCAACCAAGCCGGTAATCTTAGAGCATGCATTTTGATTTTTTCTTTGTAGCACTAACTTGAAAAATGAAAACTAAAGTGCAGTTGATTTTAATGTTTGGCTAAAAATTTTTCTGTCATCAGAGGAAAGAGAACAACATATTGATCAGGATTACAGAATAACTCACCAGCCATCTAGGAGATTCTGGAATGAAAAACAGACCTATTATCTGTGCTATACCTGAAACAACACCTAAAGAAAAAAAAGGTAAAAAAAATAGGCTTTTTTTTTTTTTTAAGAAAAATGATTAGTATACCTTTCTGCTCAACACACCCGCTAACAGCTATCAATTCAACCTTTAAAATATGAAGTTTTAAGTCTTCTTACCTTTAATTTAAATTTGAAAATAATAATTTCTTAATAAATGTATTATGGAGTGTGTTAAATTAAAAAATGTATGTATCAATGTTCTTTTTTTAATCAAATATATAGTTTTTGGACTAATAAATCATATCAGAACAAAAAGGACATAAGAAATTACTGATAAGAGCCAAGGAGCGCCAAGAAATCATGGTTCCAACAAAATATGCCATAGCAAACCCAGAGGCACTCATTAACTGCATTCACGAGAAGCTTAAGGAAGGTCCATAAAGAGGTTATTTGAGTGAATAAAATTTTTTATAGCAGTTCACTAGCTCCTACCTGATTCGCAGATGAAAACCTACCCCGGAGATTTTTTGGTGTTATTTCTGCAATATATACAGGTACCTGTGCAATGTAGAAGGTGTTGGTAACCACATGACTTGAATGTTAAGTTAGCTAAGAAGTCAATCAGATATACATGAAGTGAAAAGCCTTAGTAAAATTACCACATATGTAATAATCCCACCTCCAATTCCCAACAACAGCCTCCCAATATCCAGCCACCAAGCATCCTTTAAATTTGAAATTAAATCTTAGTAAGTATTATCTAAAAACTTCTCATTGATTGATCCCATTTAAAAAAACCATGAGCTCAAGGATAAAGAACCAGTAGGAATGGGCTTAACGTTGACCTTGAAGTCGTATGTTTCATTATTCAATTCAACCTTGAAAGAATTATAGCTTAACTGGAAGAATATAAGTGGTATTCATATTTGATACCTTTGCAAATGCTATTGCAAACCATCCAAAAGCAAAGAATATGTCAGAGATCCACATTGTCTGCCTAACAGTTTCACGCTCATATCAATTGGGAGGAATTAAACATGTTTTTGGAGCATTTCAAACTTCAAATTTTCACTGGAGAAAAAATCTTACGCGTAGACGACCAATAAGATCTGCTATCTTCCCACTTAACGTTGCGCCAAACATGCCCCCAATTGTAAATATTGAGCCAAAGACTGAGTACTACAGAGTAAGGGTGACACAAATAGAAACATAATTAATTGACATAAAAGAATCATAATAGAACAAACATTTCTTCTTTTCACTCTCCTGAACAAGTAATTCCTCAATTAAGCCTCTTAACTGCTCAATAGATGTATTGATTGAGAATTAGCTAGGGACCAGATTGATACTCAATGGATAAATTTCCTTTTTTTTTCCTTGGGGACTCTTTATGCCATTGAACATTTCAACATGAACCATATTTGCTTGACTAGGCTTTACTTAGTAGTCACATATGCAAGAAAAAGAAAGAGAAAAGAATGGGTTTGTTGATACTAACAGCTGCAGTAGAGAGGCCTAGGTCTTCCATGATTGCAGACTCAACAGGAGCTGAATAGCCGGTCTAGAGAGATGCAAACAACAACATAAAAGAAATTATGTCAAAAAGTATATATCCTCTTTATTTAAGTTAGCAATGGATGTATGTTCCTCATGTCAAGAACAGTTTCAATATTTAAAATACTAAATAGCAAGTGAAAGTCTAAGAATGGTATTAATTTTTGAAACCTCTTATTAAAAAAAATTAGAAAAAATGTTTATATTATTATGGCAAGGAGGATCCAAGATTTTTCTGTGGAGGCCTTATTAGGTTCAGTTGTTAGGGAAAAAACTGATTCTGATTGGATGAATAGGGGCGTTTGAATTATAAAAAAAGACAACACCTTTATTTATGCAATAAGAGTTATCAGCTATTCTCTAACAGCTAAATGTTAACAGGAAAAAAAAAAAACCCAAAATTTTGCTTGGTTAAATATATAGTATATTTCAAGATCAATATATATAGCATATTTTAAAGGTTCTAATTTTGGATCTGTCCTTATTCAAAAGCATGATATATAATATTAGCAGCAGCTAGCTACTTACTGCAGAGCCATAACAGAAAGATCCACAGACTGCAACCACTGTGCTGAGGATGACGGCTGCCGTAACTGAAGGCTCTCTTGACCTAGGTAGCAGTCCAGTGCTCTCCCCAAAGCCGCCATTTATGTTATGGTTCTGATCATCAGCATCAGGCATGGACCTCCTTAGCAGCAGTCCTTCTTCAATGTTTTTCCTCTCCATATCTTATTTTCTTTGGATAACTTAGAAATCTGAGAGTTTATAAGTATTATAAGATACTAAATATTTAAATAAAGTACGTTGGTGTGTAACACACTAACATGGGCACAACAAAAATACAACCCCACAAAATATTATTTATTTTCCCCTTTTTTTTTAATGATTTTTCATCAAACTCCTTTACTTCTAGATGCTAACTCTGATTTTCTTTTCTATGACGCCAAACAAGAGGGTGGTTTCATGGGAAATAGGGCCACCAGTTGAATTTTTGATATACATGATTTTTCAGTGATGCTTCACCTAATTTGGTGGGTAATAATTAGGTAATCAATAAAAACACCTTTCTCCTCGGAAACCCATTTTTCTTTTAACGAAAGTCAAAACTAAACAATTTATGTCAACAGCTGGTAAGGCAGTTAAACTGTTTGTTAATGATGGCCCATCATCTAAGTCGTTTCTATTTGAAGTTGAGTATGCAAATATTGGAATGCTTTCTGCTGGATATTACCATGACATGCCTAGAAATCAATTAAGTTTAGTCAGTGATGTGGAAACTAGGCAATTTTGGACCTTAATTCCTAAGTTCTTGTCCATGAATTTGGAATCCTTAGTTCCTAAGTTTTTGTCCATGAATTTGGATGCCTTAATTCCTAAGTTTTTTTCCATGAATTTGGATGCTTTAAGTGAGTTGAATTCAACATTGGAAATGAGTGCTGTTCTTGAAATTCAGCTCCTCCCTTTGAGCAGTCTATATCATGGTAATGTGGTCCAGTGGAAAGTTAGGAAGAAGACAGGTAAGGTAGATATGGTGACGGATGAGGGTGCACTTCTAGATGTTCCAGTTACCAATGTAGTGGTCTGTGTCTTTGGTAACCAAAATCACCATGC